ATCGTAGCTTTCATTGTGCTGCAAATTTGCGATCTCTTGCCGGGGAGGTACGCGAGTCGCCCCCGCGGGATTATATCGAAGACCCTTAGGACCCACGAAGGGGTGGCTCGGCACGAGGGTGGAGACGCGATGTTTCCGAACGAGGAAAGGGTTTTCCTTATTCGGGTTAAGCAAAGATCGTTTGGCGACTCTCGACTCTATGAATATTTTTCGATACCCCTCCCCGGCTGCTCGATATACGAAAACGGATTCTTACCTTCGCGCGGACCACGGGAAACCGTTTCCGGTCTCGCGATACGCGACGTAGTCGCCTGTTTCTCGGCGATTTTAAATTAAATATTACGTAGACGTAAGACAAGGAGATCTGGGTAAAAGAGAAGCTAAAGTTAAATAATAAAGTAGTCAATTGGCCTCGTTCGTTCGGAATTTTTTAAACTGCAAATCGATGTAGTATATTGTGTGCGGTATTTTCTTGATGTAGAACATTGAGGATTTAATTTTGTTATACAGGGTGTTCGGCCACCTCTAGCAAAAATTTTAATGAGCGATAGTAGAGGCCAAAATAAGACAAAAATCAAGAATACCAATTTGTTGATGGAAGCTTTGTTAGAAAGTTATTAACGTTTAAAGTGCCGCCCTTACTGAATTTTTTTCTCGAAAATGCGCAAGATTTCGGGGGTATGTCTATTCACCAAAAATGAATGTAATTGAACCCTACAACCGAAAATAATTTTTCCACAACGATTTGCAATTTTTTAATTTTCTCGAATAATTTCACACCTTCTCTATTTTCTTTCTCGAAAGTGGGCAGGATTTCGTGGGTATGTCTAATGACAAAAACTGATTGTAATTGACCCCGGCAAACGAAAATAATTTTTCCACAACGATTTGCAATTTTTTTTCTCCGTTGAAAAATTTAGGCACCTAGTTGGATTTTCAGTAAGGAATTTTTTTCTCGAAAGTGCGTACGATTTCGGAGGTATGTGTAATGATAAAAAATGATTGTAATTGATCCCTGCAACCGAAAATAATTTTTTTAGAACGATTTGAAAAATTTTGTTTCGCCGAAAAATTTCAGCACCTACTCGATTTTTTTTCTCGAAAGTGGATAGGATTTCGGAGGTATGTGTACTCACCAAAAATGATTGTAGTTGACCCCCGCAACCGAAAATAATTTTTCCAGAACGATTTGAAATTTTTGAATTTAATTGTTAATAACTTTTTAACGAAGCTTCCATCAACAAATTAGTATTCTTGATTTTCGTCTTATTTTGGCCTCTACTATCGCTCATTAAAATTTTTGCTAGAGGTGGCCGAACACCCTGTATAATATCTGTTAAACTACGTAACAAAAATGACCCAAGTTCTTACTGTATCTTGAAACGTATGCATAATGTAAGCGATAACAAGTAAAAATACGAAGTCTTGAATGTTGGTTACTTAACAGGTAGTTTTTAAGGCACTGTACAGTTATTCAGATTTACGATAATTATGTAATAAGTGTCTGTTACCCTTCTCTCACTATTCATGTCAGCCCTCTAATGTAAATTTTTTATTTCCAATATCAAGGAATCCATCCAAGAAACGTACAAAATAAATCAGACACTGGGGTGAGATGCAAAATATCATAGTGATTATTATATCAAAGTACACCTTGAAAATATTTGCTCCTCTGCACAACATCGAACTATATAAACTACACCCATAATCACGACGTTTATAATGTGAATCAATCAAAGAACAGGTAAGTTCTGTTTGTTCGTTAACGAAAACTTCTCCGATACGCTTATCACGTATTTAAGACTATAAATAAAGTTTGAACGAGCAAACTTAACCTCACGAGAGATATTCATCACAATTTCATCGCAAGCTTGATAGATACCGATATCAGTTTCAGTTTTTGTTCGTTTCGAATAAAATAATTTCGTCCCTGGCGGGATTAAGGCAACAACGCGCGAAACGCGAGCTTTATCGTTAAATATTTCGCGATCTATCGAATATCTACGTAAATGGTGGTAGAATCGTGCAATATTTCACAGCTCTTTGCTTATCGATAATGTTTCATCGAAATCGACGAAAAACGGTTTGATTCAGTGGCCCCTTTCAGTAAACGTAAATATTGTCAACTATAATTACCACATAAATAAAATAAAAGCTCGTGAGAGAATTCTGATGGAAAATTATTCAAAACACACGTTACAGGTCTGAGTTGAATTTCTTATTCAATGAAATAACAAGAATTACGTTACTTTCTCGAGCTCCCTTGATTTCTTCACCGAAAAATTGAAATTCGAAACACATTTTTAAAATACGTTTCGATCCCCGTACTCGAAGAAGTCTCGGAACGAGATCCCTCAACGAGTCCCTCGATCTTCGTGGAGTCGGAGCGTTCTAAAGTCGCGGAACGCCTCTATCGTCGTTAATCATCGTTCGATGAAAGGTACAGAGGCGTAAAAGAACGAGCCGCCAGTAGGTGGGAGAGTGACATAAATGTTTCAGAGTCGCGAGCATCTGTCGTCCGGGGGACTTTTTCAGTTCTCGAAGAGAGCTCGTTTTTGGAGCTCTCCGCGCAGAAGACGGAGAAAGAGGAGAGAAGGGGTTTCGATGGGAAAAGGGGGCGGGTGGTGGAGGGAAGGAAGAGGGGGTTTACTATCCTCGTATAATGTATTATAAGTGGAGGCACTCACAGGGCCGTCAGTACCAAACACTCAAAGCCCTCCCTGCCTCGCTCGGTTCTATCTACCCGTTCGTGTCTCTCCCCCTACTCGCCTCTCTCTGTACACTCCGCTTTCGAGTTATCGATAAGAACCGCAGACCTCTTTTGTTGGTTGATAGATAGCCTTTCAAAGCGACGCGAGGTCAAATATTCGACATGCCGTGGGTTCAATTTCATGCCAATAATATCTATGCGAAATAAGGGCCGGAAAGCTCCTCCCCCCACCTCCCCCCACTGGAAACCGTCTTTCGACCAGCTTCTCGACAAAACTTTCCCCTCCATATTTAGGGGGAACGGTAATGGCTATAAAAAATCGATTTCCCTTTTTACGTTTTCTGAATGATCGAAGATCGCTTCGTTTCTCCATCGACCGAAATTGTTCGAGTCAAACACGATGCTTAATTTTAAACTACTTCGTGGGAAGAGAGACATTTAGGGGGGAGGGTCTGTTGGACTTTAGGATGTTTCTGTATGAACGTTGGTTTTAATAATAAATTCTATAATTTAATTTCTGTGTTTCGTTCGAATATTCATTAAGGGTGATAAATGGACAATTTCCTGATATATACAGAACAGAGTAGACACATACGTGTCTGTGAAGATCAGATGTTGTGCAGAAGGAAGGAATGAAAATACCTCAAGAAAGACGCTTCTAAAATAAGACATTGCAATATTAACGTTTATAATTATATAAGAACTATGATATTTTCTGCACTAGTACCAAGGGTCTGTGTTTGTACGGTTTTTGGTCAAATCGTCGTGTTTCTGCGTAAAAGAAACCCAAAATCCGAAACCTGAAACTCTGTATATGAAACGTCGCAGAAAAGAAGTAAAATTGTTATAGAAAGGAAAACTAATTTCTGTTCTTTGGTATTCCATATCATAGTCGTAGGTCTTTCACGTAAATTTTCACGATTCTCATTGCAGCCTAAGTATCGTTGAAAATATAAACGAAGCACGTCCCTTCATTTTAATGCTTCTTATCGATATATTTAAACTTTTAATACAACGAATAACATCGATCGAAATTATAAAAGGCCAGTTTAAAATACTGTTTCGAAGCCTCCTGCGGAAAATAGTTCAAACCGGAAAACATATTTTCCAATATGCCTGGAGAATCAAGAGTGATTAAATGAAAAATTTTAACCGTTCGATCCGCTACCAGATACGAAACTGCATAGCTAATTTTGCGAAATATACGCATCGAAAATTATTTAAAAATCGAAATACACGATTAGTTTGTTAAAAAGTATCAAAAAGTTCAGATTGAATAGTCGAACGCAGATAAAAGGCAAAAGGGTCGAATACATATTTAGAACGAACATCAATAAAACGAGATTAAAAAAATGGGAATTTTGATGTTATCAATTTTTTCGTAACAACCATGCTCCTGTAAAATTGCAACGGGAGAAAAAGGGAGATTTAAAGCTAATAGCCTCGTATCTAGTAAACCAACACGGTTTATAGGGAAATATAAGAAGATTGAAACTTTCAGATTGAAAACCACATAAAGTTGTAATAGGATTGAAAACATGGAATGTCTAGTTCCATTTAAACCTTTTGATAGAATATCTCTTTTCGTAACACCGGAATAGACGTTCCCTCGAAATGCTCCAAAAAATTGCGAATTTTAAAATCGCTGGTTGATCGTTTTATCACGTCGAAGATGATTAAGCCCTTGCAGTGTTTTAATATTCATCCGAGTACGAAGCATGTTCGAGTTCAAAAGGATCGTAACCTTGTGCCCTACAGAAGTTTATAATATTTCAAATTTTTAGAAATGATATTTTAAAGAATTCATACGAAATAGATGAAATACTAAATTGAAAGAAAAGATTTACTAATTGAAGACACAAATCGATTCACACGAAATTTTGTATCAATAAAGAAATGTAAAACGAACAGTTTGGACATGGGATTTTCCTCGGAAAAATTAATTTTTCGGAAAATTTACATACTCTGAGTGATATATTTGAGGTGATAAAAGATTGCGTGACAGTGTAATGTTCGTTGTTATAAAATTGTCTAATTCGTGTAGATCTTTAATCTTTAAGTTTAACGAAACGGATAATACCTCCAGTTTTGAACTCGAGCATTTTTCTGGCCAATTTATCGCGAGGAATACCTTCGTGAAGGCGATAATTTGCGGCGTCTAGCGATTAAGGCATTGGAGCAACGAGCCTGTGCATATTGTTAGCGATAAGTTAAGCCGGCCCCGCGACAGCGGAGCCGCAGACGTCTGTAAAATGGCGCAGCGTGTTAAGAAATGGGTTTGTGAGGCCAGGTGGCGTGGATCAAGGCAGACACCAAGGCGGTCCTGGCGATTCACGAGCACGTGATCACGAACAACGGGCGTTTATCAGTGACGCATAATGACTACAACACGTGGACGTTGAGCATTCGCGGAGTGCGGCGCGACGATCGGGGCATTTATATGTGTCAGGTCAACACGGATCCTATGAAGAGCCAGGTACGAGAAGACTATCGTCTTGGTATCGAGCGTGGAACAAAAACTAAAGGAAGGGAACGAAAAAAGAAAAAAAAAAATGCCACGGGAAGAGTGGGGGATCTTTTTACCCCTGCATCCGGGTCAGGTTTTTATTGTACGCGACGCTTTCGCGCGGCGGGCATTCATTTTAAAGCGAAATCCGTTTCTGCGCCTGGAAGTAGTTGTTTCCACTGACCTCCCGCGGGGGAGGCTAAATTCAACCGAGTCATGTTCAAAAATTCCATTGAGATTTGCCTCGCCTGAAACGCGACCTGTTGTTGGCTGTCGTCGAAGCCTTCTTGATGAGAAATGTTTTTCTATCGAAGAAGAAACGCGTTAGAAATTATTTGTCACACTCTGTATTCGATAAATTCGACGCAATAAAATAAAGCTGAATTAACATTTTAAAAAGTATTGACTCGGGCTACTTTCGTAACCATAGATGAATTTGATCTCTATTTGTCTCTCTCTATTTGATCTCTATTTGTCGATCTCTTTTAGAAATGTTTCTGTTTTCTATTTTCACGTACTAACACGTTCACTGCCAAGTCAGAACCGTATAATATTCTGCAAAAGTAAAATTTTGATTTTAGATCAAAAGTTTCAGTACTTATTTTTGTACCTTGTTAAAATTCATAAATTCTATCCAAATTTATTTTTTTCAACGTCTTAACTTGAAAATTAATTTTTCTAGTATCATAATGGTAAATCCTGTCACCCATATGTGGGTCACGTGGCAGTGAAGGTGTTAAAGCATGGATAGATGGAAAATAACTAATGATCGATGCATCGAATTTACAGAGCGCGTTTTTGGAAGTCGTGATACCGCCAGATATAATATCCGAAGAAACCTCGAACGATCTGATGGTGCCCGAGGGTGGCTCTGCGAAATTGGTGTGCAAGGCCCGCGGATACCCAAAACCAGAGATCATTTGGAAACGAGAAGATGGCGCTGACATCATTTCACGCGCCGGAGTCTCCGGTGGCAAAACAAAAAGTAAGAATTAAATTAATATTCTAACTAAAATCGTAGTCAAAGACAGATTCAGAATACTCGAACGTAAGAAGTACACCACTTTTATTCAACGTTCCATTTAAAACACTAATTGCACGCTTTTCTTGTCAGTCATCTTTTAATTCACGAACGTTGTAATTTTCAATTTGTTCAAAAGATTTTACGAATACATCCAACGCAATGGATCGAATGAACGTTCTGAAATCAATTTAAACTTTCATCCGAAAGAGAGTACAAAATTATAGTATACGCGAATTTTTTCTCTATAATAATTTTGTATAAATTTCTTTATGACAGTTTTGTTCGTAACGCGTAAAAACGCTTGAAATGGAAACGTTTAAATTGATGTTATGAATTCGCCCGTGGAAGATTAAAAACCGGAACCTTTTATTTTTCAAGTACGTTTAAAAAAAAAATTCGTGCATTTTATAAATGTATCTGTATTTGGCGCGTTCGCCATTTATTATTATTTTCTCCCGTCACTCGCAGATTAATTAACGAACGTTATAACTTGTGCCGCGCGAATGCATTTTTCACTTTGCTCGAAAGATTTTTTTTGTTCCTGTGTACGTTTTAAGACACTAAATGTACGCATTTTATGAATTCGCCCGTGCCTTCGCCGGTTTTAAATATTAGTTTCCGTCAGTCGCGGATTAATTAACGTGCGTTACGACTCCTATCCGCGCGAATGCGCGTTCCACTTTGCCCGAAACATTTTCGAAACGTATTCAACGGCGCGGTCTTTCTCTCGTCGTTTTATCGACGATACGAGACCCGGCTATGAAACAATTTGCGTAAAAGACGTAAGCGTTCCCGAGGTCAGGTGGCCTCTTCCAAATCGCAGAAAATCGTCAGTAAATAAAAGAGGGATTTATCCAACAATTGGATCGAGCCAAATACAAGATAGAAACACGAGGCGTGGCGATGATGCGTATCTAATATGGCAATATATTTCCAATATAAGTAGAGTGGTTCGTAAAATTGGGAAACGCGACGCGAAAATCGAAATGTCGATGAGTCTTCACGCGCTTAAAAGTATAAAACATTTTGTTAGTACTGAAAAAACGGATGTAATTTTTATGCACACATGTACGCGTTAAAACGATAATAGAATTCTAAATAGAGTCGAACGAATTGCTCAATAATGGTGTAGTTACAAAAGTTTAATTGTTGCTAAAAAAAACGAACGATTCAACGTGTCGCTGAAAAAACCCTAGTCTCTTCGGTCTCTGCTAAACTTTCTGCGCCAGTAGAACAATACCACCCAGTTTTAACGCACACCAGTTGTATAATCAATGGAAATTGCTGAAACTTCTTTGGATATGTAGCGTCAAAGTAAATTGTAAAAATAAACGTAGAAGATAGCAAGAATTATAGTAGGTGATATGACCATTAGATAGAGGATGAAATGCCCTTTAAAATGAGCGTTAGAACTAGTCGATAGCTCAATTAGTTCCGGAGATATGAGGATTTTAGTTTCAAGTCGATATGGTGGCTAGTTCCAGAGATTTAAGAATAGACCTTTCACCTTATGGGACTTTCGTGGCCCAATCTGACTGTAATACCGACCTGAAAATTCGGAGGTGATTTTAGCATCCTCTTCACGTGGATCAGTTGAGAAATTATTCACTGAATTAGTATTGATAGGCAAACAGTTGTAGTGTTGCGTAAAGTGAGTTGACTATGGAAGGGATTAAAATTCATTTGTGAATCTGTTGGTAACGTTTAGAATGATACGAAAATGGTAATGGGATTTCGAGACCCCATAAAAATAGGCCGCAAAAATACATTGGATGGTATCTACACGTATACCTCATCTTCTCTGACAATATTCTAGAATCTTTGATGAATCAATGAGAATCAAAACTAGCCTAGCGAAGAAGCTCTATATTTATGATGACCTATGCAAAGCGGATCGCAGCCAATTTGCTAATATTATTTAGTTTTTAATTAATAATTGCATTACCCAGCTAAGAGTGATACGATTATTAATTAAACGCTAAATAATATTACCCAGGTCTCACCACGTGGAAGTTGCTGCGAATGGAGACCCGCCCTAACCGATTCCCAACCACCCTCCATTAGTAAAGATCTTTTGTGACCAGCGATCGTTGGCCGAAGAAGCAATAAACGAAAGTGCAACCAACGAAGGAAACAACCAACGAAACAGTTTTTTGAGATAGAATTTGCCTCTAAATTCTCATCCACAAAACAGAGAAATAGACCAAAATATTGCCTGCCTGATATAATGATTAATATAGAGAACCAAACTACTGGCTAACTATAAATCTAAATTCGTTTACATCCTACCTATCTAATCATCTAACAAAATACATAGAAAATAGATTCTTCCTTGTTGATCCTTCGACGAAGATTTCCTGAAACATACTGTTACATTCTACCTAACTATAAATCTAAATTATTAAAACATAAACTAAGCAATCTGAAACAAAATACATGAAATACATTCTTCTTTCTTCTATCTTCTATTTATCCCACGATGATTTTCTGAACCACAAATAAAGCAATATCAAACAAAATTGTAACAATTCTTAATCGTTACTTCTATAAACCTAAAACTTCCATAGGAATATGCTCTGTAACAGAAACTTGTTTAATAGATCAGTAAGAGAACAAACAAAAATTTGACACCTGCAAGAAGCACATGCCCAACACTGAATCTGTAAAACTACAAATACTACAACTACAGGCAAGTGCAGTGAGAAAGTAAAAATAGTACATAATATACGAGGTTACTTTGACTCTAAAATGTATTCGTCGCGAAATATCTTCTTGCACGTCGATCTAATGATATATTTTAATAAGTAAGGAAAGTGAATGACTCAATTATGAAAGTGAATTTAATTATTGAAGAATGTAAAGAACAATCGGAAGCTACTAATTTGACACTCATTCTAAACTGAATATAATTATAAGTATTATAAAGATATTAAAATCATGACTCTACTTTCGATCGATATTACGATATTTGTCATATTAAAAATTGCGGCGTGTAAAAACATCGCACGCTTAAATAAAACGCGACGCGACGCGTGCTCATAGCGTGCAGTGAGTGTGGGTACCAAATTGATCCCCCCCGGCCTTGATTATCAGAAAAGCAAGTCACGCCCCTGACCCATGTCTATCGGGCTTCTCTACGTACAACCGCCGGGCCCTGGAGGACACACGATCACAACAGGACCCGCTTAGTACTCGAGAACGGATATGAGTCAAGAACTCTCGCCGGAGGTCATTCTCTTTTCCGTATAAAGAGGAGAATATATGCGCTCGGTGAGGCCCCACTTAAGCTGAACCAAGCTGCACCGGGGTTGAAGCGGTTAGAGCTATCACACCTACTACACAGGTGTCAAATGTTTCATTCTATCAAACAGAGGTGATCGAGCAAAACTCTCCGGTCCTTTCGGTCGAGACATAATCTCGGAAAGCGAGAACCAGAGAACGAGCGGGCGAGAGAAAGTGAACTATTTATATATGTATATGTACTCATTATATATTCATTTTAAAATGAGTGTCAAATTAAAAATGAATCTACTATGACATTTGTCATCTTAAAAATCGCGGTGTGCAAGAAGATTATGATTTTGAGCAAAAGGTACTAACTACACTTGCCAGAGAAAGCACGTATACAACCAGTCGAAGCTTAAATCTAGTTTAATTGTACCAAGCAATTATTTTGTTTATCACCAAGGTTTGGCCCGATAGACTTATCACGTCTCTGAGACGTCTCATTCATGTTTGGTAAGCTAAGGGGTTCAAAAGGGGTGAAGGTAAATCAAAACTAATATTTATATTAGTGAGATATGGTAAGAAATTTAGTAAACACTTAAAAATGATCTATCACCTAGCTAAAGGGAATTGGAACAGAGTATATTAGCAAAATGTTACAATAATTTAAGCTGAAACGTAAAAATAAAAATCTTATATTAATCAGTGTCATCGAAACAAACATGGTATATGCATCGATACCATGTTGTACATATCAAAAGGAACATTCTTATATTCATCAGTGTCATCGAACCAAATATGGTATATGCATCGACACAATGTTACACATATCAAAATGAACATTTGTAATAATGAAGGAAACTTGGATCGAGACACCAAGTTGCATCAACGCCAAACAAACAAACGAAATGGAAGAATCAAACAAAGTACTTCGAGCAAGAACGTAAAAATAAAAATTCATGAAATTGTGTAGAAACAAATATAGTATATGATTGAAAACTATATTACATTATTATATCCTGCAATATTATACATATCAAAGCAATCGCATTTGTTTCGTAGAAACAGAGAAAAGGAATATTCATAATAACCAAATAAAATCAGATAGAAAAATAAAGTTGAATTCACATCAAACAAACAAATAAACATAATAAAATATAAATAAGTGGAGTGGACTTACTACTTGATGTCAGTACATAGGGTAGTTACCACTGGGCCAGCTGTAAAGTAAGAAAATATTCATATTATAGCAGCATCAGTTAGACAAGCAAGGCAAAATCAGTTCATTGAAGCGAAATTGGTATCAAACGATAGAATAGAAGAGGGGAGAGAATTTTTAAACAGTTCTTACCGTTGGTCATCACCGTCCGGCACTGGTCAGTAGTGGTCAGCAATGGTCAGCAGTGGTCAGTAGTGGTGGGAGCACTAGTCAGAACTGGTCAGTAGTGGCCAGTACTGGTCAGTCATGGTCAGCGCTGGCCAGTAGTGGTCAGCAGCGGTCCACGGTTCTCTTCTGGCCATTTGTACACTCCCGAATTCGCGACGAGACTGAAGAATTATTCGCAGTGGCCCCGCTTATACGTCTAAGGTGATGAAAGGGTGGGGAGACCAGTCAGAGCCAAAGTTAAAGCTAACAGTTAAGACTGTCTTGTCTACAAAGAAACTATTTCGATTGGTCCCACCTCTTGGTCATTTCTGGATCTTCACTGGACCGCTGACCTTGATGTCAACCTCACTGTTAACCACCAGTGACCATAAGCTAGTCATCGTTGATCATAGACTGATTAAAACCATTACGAAGATTAAAACCTTCTCACGAGGATCCCCTTACAATTTGATGCATGATCTTTTTAACATTTTGTTCCACTTTGGAAGAGTGTATCTCGTTAATTTTTGTCTTTTTGTACGTCAGTTCGAACAATTGTCATACGTGAACAAAAAATTCGGAGATGATTTTAGCGTCCTCTTCTCATGGATGGCGGTCAGTTGAGAAACTATTCACTGAATTAGTATTGATAGGCAAACAGCTGTTGACAATGGAAGGGATTAAAATTCATTTCTGAATCTGTTGGTAACGTTGTGAATGACACGAAAATGATAATGGGGTTTTGGACCCCATAAAAGTGGGCCGAAAAAATACATTGGGTGAAAGGTCTACTCGTATACCTCGACTGTGATATAAGGGTCCGTATGTGTTTGTTTACTTTCTTACTACGGCCTTGTCAAGGTCGTTGACCGGCACGTGCTCGTAGTAGCTAGGTCACTCGGCCACTCGGTCACGAGTCACGTACGAGAAAGAGAGGTCCGACGCGCCAGACGGAGACAGAGACAATCTAAATGAAGAAATTACCTTTTACATAAATTACGATATCTCCGAAACGGAATGTCGGATAGACAAAAACCAAAAACCACTTTAAAGGGGAGGCTTCGCCACTTCTAACAGTGGCTCAATAATGAATAAAACATCAGTAATTTCGGAACTGCACCCGTCTAAAGTTTGACTATTCTTAACAGCGGAAATTGAAGATTCTCTTCTTTAATCATTGCTGTATATTTCTTCTTTACATCGGATGTAAATTTGAAAAGAAAACAAACTGCATGGAAAAAGTGCATAGATGTTCGTTTCACAATTCTGACCGCCTGGATGCGGAAAATTGACCACCGAACGGCGGTTCTAAATATTTTCATAGGTGGTTCGGTCAAGCCAGTAATTCTAAACTGATTACCGTTGTTCTCGCGTTTCACGAGAGACGGCCCGAGTAAAGTGAACCGCACATGACAATCCCTCTGCCCATTGAATTCACTGGGAGCTTTCGTCACCACTGAAACGAGACTGTCGCCACTCGTATTTCGAAGCTTTACTTCTAGCTGTCTCGCGTTACATCGAATCACGCAAATACTCGACCCGCGATGCCTATCACAATGCGGAATTAAGTAGAATCTCTGGCCATCGGATGAGAAACTAATTCTATCAGTTTTAATCTGAAGTATTATTCTTCTTCGACTGGACAATCGAGTCAAGAAATGATAGAAACAAAATTTTTTATTATTATTCTTGTATCTTTGATCGAAATTGACATTTTATAGGCTGACACACTGGAATAGGAACTAATTACTATGTCTTTGTCTTATAGTTCATTTAAAGTCTAGTCTAGACTAGTCTAGACTAGTGTCTTGTTAATTTCCTATTGTCCTTAAACTATGAAAGTGATTGCATGAGTGGATTGTGTCTGTTTCTAATTTGGTCCTTGTCTTATAGTTCATTTAAAGTCAATTGACTAGTGTCTTGTTAATCTCCTATTGTCTTTAAACTATGAAAGTGATTTTATCAGTGGGTTGTGTTTCTAATTTGGTGTGGTATCTGATTTATTCTAGTAATTTTGTATTGTTGATTGAAAGTGGTGCATATTACCCTTTCCTCAACAAACGTCAGTGGAACTCTATTGGTCACATTATGCAGTAGATTTTTAACATCTCTTAAGATTTTTAACCAGCAACAAAATTGTGAATCTGTTAATTCATTTTTGCAGTATCGTTGAAGTATATAATTGATGAAAAATATTACAAATTTTTATTTCTTGACAATTTTACTTGCATGGTTCTGTACCCAAAATTGCTTTAACAATTTCTAACAGAATTCCCTATTCCGGAGATTCTGATTCGCAAACGGGGGTGAAACAGCATTCTCACCCTCGTCCGAGGTGTTCCTTTACACTCTGTAAAGGGTGAACAATATTGGGTGAATGCTATTGACGTATTGAATTGAAAGGGACGCTTCTAGTACCTTGAACACTCTATCGTGCCGAATTCGCTGTGTTTGATTAGTAATAGAGATAAATTAATTGATTACGACGCGATGAAGTCAAATAATCGGTTCTCCTTTTCTTTGCACGAATGAAATTTAAGTTAGTTTGATGAATTAAAAAATGGAGGAACCTTCTAATGCATTGCTGAGCTCAACAATGGAAATGGAAATCAAATTTTCAAAATAATAACGAAATAATAATATAATACATAGAGATATAATAAACAGTTGTTAATTTGAAATTGTATAGACCGCTTTGGACCTAAAAATTCACTTGAAGGTTAAGAAAATGAAGTGAGTAATGGAATACACTAACATATTTAAATATATATTTGACGATCGTTCCAGTTTACACGTCCTTTATCAGACCAGAACGCAATGAAATGAAATTATTCACTGAATCTTGAATACAGCTCACTTTATCTAGCATAATATTGACATTTATAACAATAACGCGAACTGCTGAACATTACTCACTGCCAGACTTGCGCGAATAATTTAGTCCGTGTCCCGAGTGGAATTTAACCGAGGCATTGGATCCTCCACTTTGAAAGTATTATACAATTAAACGGTCCCAAACTATAAATACATCAAATCGCCCATGAAACCAACAGTTTTCAAATATATTTAAAATTCCTCCAGCTTAAATATCGCTGAAGATTATAACGTATCCCAATTCCGGGAAAATCCGAAACTCCAACAAGTATCCGATATCACGTGAAACAAATCATGAATATCGTTAAAAAAAATAATGCCTTTCGAAAGCTATACAAAAAATACTGCTATCGTCCAACGATCCTCTCCCCCAGTGTTCGCGTACGAATCTACGATGACGCGCTAATTGGTGTCTATTTTCTGCCCAAGCGATAAATTGGAAAATCCCGACTATTATTCGAGTAATATGACAAATATTCGGTTTTTTTGCAACCTCGTGAATGAAACTCCCATTCAAAAGCTTTCTAAAAACAACACCGATAGGCAAAATAACTATACATTTAACAGAAAAATTAAAATTGAAAGCTAAGAACACACAGTACTCCATTTATCGTTTTGTTTTAGAGGCCCCTTTTTCAGAAAGTTTCGAGTCACATTTTTAGACTCTATGAGAAGACGATTGTATAGATAGAACTTTTTTAGAGCATCGTGATTGACCCTCGCAAACGAAAATAATTTTTCCAGAACAATATGAAATTTTTTTATTTTATCGAGAAATTTTACATATTCTCGAATATTTTTCTAGAAAATGGGCAGGATTTCGGTGGTATGACTATCCACCAAAAGTGATTATAATTGACCCCAGCAATTGAAAATAATTTTTTCAGGACGATTTGAAATTTTTTAATTTTGTCGAAAAATTTTACATATTCTCGAATTTTTTTCAAGAAAATGGGCAGGATTTCGGGGGTACGAATATTCACCAAAAATGATTATAATTGACCCTAACAACTGGAAATAAATTTTTCAGGACGATTTGAAATTTTTTAATTTTGTCGAAAAATTTCACACCTTCTCGAATTTTTTTCTGGAAAATGGGCAGGATTTCGGAGGTATCTCTATTCACCAAAAATGATTGTAACTGACCCCTGCAACTAAAAATAATTTTTTTACAACGATTCGAAATTTTTTAATTTTATCGAGAAATTGTACATATTCTCGAATTTTTTTTTAGAAAATAGGCAGGAATTCGGTGGTATGACTATTCACTAAAAGTGATTATAATTGACCCCAGCAACTGGAAATAATTTTTTCAGAACGATTTGAAATTTTTTTGCCGAAAACTTTCAGGGATACATATCAATGTGTGATCAGACATCATATTTTCAGTAAGGAATTTTTTCCTCGAAAATGCGTAGGATTTCGGGGATATGTCTACTCACCAAAAATGATTGCAGTTGACCCCCGAAGCCGCAAATAATTTTTTCAGAACGATTTGAAATTTTTTTGCCGAAAACATTCAGGGATACATATCAATGTGTGATCAGACATCATATTTTCAGTAAGGAATTTTTTTTTCGAAAATGCGTAGGATTTCGAGGGTATGTCTGTTCACCAAAAATGATTGTAAATGACTTCTGCAACTAAAAATAATTTTTTTACAACGATTCGAAATTTTTTAATTTCACCGAAAAATTTAGGCATCTGTTTAACAGAAAAATTAAAATTGTAAATTAGGAACACACAATAATCGATTTATCGTTTCGTTTTAGAGGCCCCTTTTTCAGAAAGTTTGTCGATTTTGTGCTTTATAGAAAATACTGATTCGATTACGAGTGGTCGAATGGATTCTAAAAATACTTTTCCTCCGTTTGTGTATTGCAGTAGCTGCCGCGGAGGGTGAAACGCTGACTTTGTCGAAAGTAACCAGAAGCGAGATGGGCGCCTACCTATGCATCGCAAGTAACGGAGTACCACCATCAGTCAGCAAACGGATGATGCTGCACGTGCACTGTGAGTACGCCCTAATATCGTTTCCCCGGGTACTTTCAACGTGAATCTATCTCCCCTCGAAGATTATCTTCTTAGCCGCCGATGGATTCTGCTGATTCGCTCATTGAAGCTAACTTATTCTTCCAAATCCTCCTCCACGCTCCAACGAGCGTTAAAATCGATTGTTGTCCACGTTTGCTCTAATCACCCAGCACTGTGAATTAATCGCCACGGTTGCTTACGATCACTCGACCACACAAATCGACGAATCGTCACAATTATTGCTAAAATTATTCCGTGTGGTTCAAATAAAACTCTCTTTTTTCTTGTTTATTTAATATAGATATTAACATTTCAATAGATAGTAAACCACATCAATAGATAACCTCAAACAATAGATAAACCTACTTATTTTTATTTTTAATAAATTCGATCCTTATAGACCCAATATACAGGGTGTTCGGCCACCTCTAGCAAAAATTTTAATGAGCGATAGTAGAGGCCAAAATAAGAGGAAAATCAAGAATACCAATTTGTTGATGGAAGCTTCGTTAAAAAGTTATTAACGTTTAAAGTGCCGCCCTTACTGAATTTTTTTCTCGAAAATGCGCAAGATTTCGGGGGTATGTCTATTCACCAAAAATGACTGTAATTGAACCCTACAACCGAAAATAATTTTTCCACAACGATTTGCAATTTTTTAATTTTCTCGAATAATTTCACACCTTCTCTATTTTTTTTCTCGAAAGTGGGCAGGATTTCGTGGGTATGTCTAATGACAAAAACTGATTGTAATTGACCCCCGCAACCGAAAATAATTTTTCCACAACGATTTGCAATTTTTTTTCTCCGTTGAAAAATTTAGGCACCTAATTGGATTTTCAGTAAGGAATTTTTTTCTCGAAAGTGCGTACAATTTCGGAGGTATGTGTAATGATAAAAAATGATTGTAATTGATCCCCGCAACCGAAAATAATTTTTTTAGAACGATTTGAAAAATTTTTTTTCGCCGAAAAATTTCAGCACCTACTCGATTTTTTTTCTCGAAAGTGGATAGGATTTCGGAGGTATGTGTACTCACCAAAAATGATTGTAGTTGACCCCCGCAACCGAAAATAATTTTTCCAGAACGATTTGAAATTTTTGAATTTAATTGTTAATAACTTTTTAACGTAGCTTCCATCAACAAATTAGTATTCTTGATTTTCGTCTTATTTTGGCCTCTATTATCGCTCATTAAAATTTTTGCTAGAGGTGGCCGAACACCCTGTATAGAGTGTTCGATAACTGGTGGTACAAGCGACAAGGGGTTAATTCTACATGAAAAAATAAGTCTAAAATATAGAATACAAATTTTTCATGTGAGGCTTTGTTTTCGAGAAAATCGACTTATATATGGATATATGTATATTGTTGTAAACTCATTTTGTTTGAGACATGTAAATAGTATTATACATACCCTCAAACAGTCGATAAAAATTCTATTTATTTTTATTTTTAATAAATTCGATCCTAACTTTATTACCAATATACAATATTGTTCTAAACTCATTTTGCTTGAGACTTGTAAATAGTAAGATGCTAAATGTTGTTATTCGTATCTATTATAGAATGGTCTAATAAATTAAAATAAATCCAGAGCGGTTTGGGTACCAAGATTGAAAGGTTTTCTTTCCCCTCTTTGGCGTTCCTATAATCGTCCGCAGCTTTAATGGTGGTATATGAACGTACGATAAAAATTCCTTGCAGCCAGTGAAATTTCAAAATATGCAAATAACTTTGCCGTGTCTGTTACCCTGACTGATTCTACGTGACGTACGCTGAGTTACATCACGCGATACACACGCTTGTAATATATTCCCCGGTATACCGGATTCTACACATGCGGATTCCACAACCTACTTTCGACATCAATGCTGCATCAAAATAGTCACGCTTCAGAATTTCTATACGGGATGTTTCTTACGCGACGCGCGATAAACTTCACGCGTTACAACATTTTACGTCCTGAAATATCACAGCTTTACGAAAACCCGTTTACGTAAAAAATTTTTATTCCCGTATTAACGTCTCGCGTTAAAAGAAGTCGATATCTTCGTCGATTTCTCGAGAAACAGTTTCTGATATTTTATTCGGGCTCATTTAAGCGTTCTGTGTCGTGCGTGGTCCATTTTTCATAAGTAATTCTCACTTTTAGCTAAACGCTTAATCCAAACTTTTCGTGTGGTCGTTCTTTTTGATTAATCTTTTACGAACGAAGTTTCTTCCTCTTTTCATTTTCCACCCAGAGGGCTTCGTACCTGTCTTTTTTTATGAAACGAAGTTACGTTCTTTATTGTTTGTTACCGAACATCAAACGATACGGGATCAAAACGTTTCAAATTACGATTTTTATTATTGCAACATCGCGCGGAGCGATTGCAATGAAACTTAGAGCGTCTATCGTCATTTGAAAGTTGAGCTACATGGCACGAAATTATTATTGACGGATAAAGTAATGGGTCAAATATAATATTGTTATATATCTTTTTTATCGTGGCTTTTACAATAAACCATAAAAGTTCTTGAAACTTTTGGAAAATATTTTGTACGCGAAACTTGTATGTTTTCTACGGAATCCATAATAACTGAAAATAGTAGCCGGCCCTTCCAGCTTTTTAATACTTTACGAATGCGTGCAACAGCAGAGCTGTATTTATACGCGTTGCAGAAAATAAAACGCAGAACATTGCGCATCGGGGATCGTGAAAATAAATTTTACATTCGAACAACATTTTCTACAAAATTGTACGACTCGTCTAATTTACAACAAGCGATCAAAGTATGAAATATTTTTTTAAGCTGCTGTACAAATATTTCTAACGATCGGGAATACTTTATTAGGAAATGTTATGAGGATTTCGACGATTCCGTGAAATTTAATTACATATTCTCTACGTGTTACCGATCCAAAGTGAAGCGTTTCCGGCCCTCGATAATTATGTGCTTCGTTGTGCAGTAACCCAAGAAAATCGCGTATTCAACGGTCAGACAACGCGAACTTTGCACCTATTTCATCGATTTAACCGAAACCAACGCCGTGCCACTAATTACGTAACAAGTGTTCCGCCCTACTCATCGAAAGTTACGGGACCTACGAAATATTAGCCCGCGAAACGACAATTTCCACCCGCGGCGCGATCTTGCGAAACGAGACGAGTCAAGAAAGAGGGAGAAACAGAAAGGGAAATAAAAGTAAAATTCCCTTTTGCCGGCCCCCTCGCTCAGTCGCGAAAATATGTACAGTGTTCCCGCCATTTTGGCACGAAACGTTTTCTTTGGACGGAAGATCGACCGTTTGCTTCGTAACCCACGAGAAAAGAAAGTATTTTAATCGCGAAAACTTCTCTTTTATGCGCACATCTTTGCTAACGGCAAGAGACTCGCTGCAAAGAATTGTTTAAAGATTTCTTTCTTTCGAACGAGCAACGAATTCCTTATCTTCAAACGAGACGAAGAAAACGACGATTTCATCTGAAGAGATTGGAGAATAGAATGCACATTATTGCACGTTAAAATCGTCGAAAAATTAAATTTCATGGAACTTTGTAACGATCGAATCGGACAAGAAGCTTCGTTGCTTTCTCGAGTCACGTTTTTAGACTCTATGAGAAGACGATTGTATAGATAGAGATTTTTTAGAGCATCGTGATTGACCCTCGCAACCGAAAATAATTTTTCCAGAACGATTTGAAATTTTTTAATTTTTACAAGAAATTTTACATATTCTCGAATTTTTTTCTAGAAAATGGACAGGATTTCGGGGGTATGAGTATTCACCAAAAATGATCGTAATTGACCCCTGCAACTAAAAATAATTTTTTTTAAATGATTTGAAATTTGTTAAAAAAAAAATGTCGATTTTTCTTAAATATTCGTTATTCATTTTTAGTAAAATTGTTTGACGCCCTATAGAAAAGTTGTTTAATACTTTTTTTTAGGTATCTATGAACTCTAGTTTCACTCAAAATTTCATTGAAATATATTCACGATTGTAGGAGTTACGGCTATTTGAAAATTGGACCATTTTTATGGGGTTTTTCTCACTTTACGGGGTCAAGGAACAACTTTTCGAATATTGTTAGAATTTCTACATATTCTTCACTAAAATACGCGTTATTTGCCTTTTTAAACATTAAAATCCTTCAATCCGTTCAGAAGTTACGAAGTTATAAAGATACGCATGAAATTTCAGGGAAACATGTCAATATATGGTCAGGCATTATATTTTCGGTAAGGAATTTTTTTCTCAAAAGTGCGTAGACTTTCCGAGGTATGTGTATTCACCAAAAATGATTGCAACTGGCCCCTGCAACATAAAATAATTTTTTCAAAACGATTTGAGAAAGTATTTTTTCGCGAAAAAATTTCAAGGAAACATGTCAAAGTGTGGTCAGATATTACATTTTAGGTAGGGAATTTTTTTCTCGAAAGTGCGTAGGATTTCGGTGGTATGTCTATTCACCAAAAATGATTGTAATTGACCCCTGCAACCGAGAATAATTTTCTTAGAACGATTTAGAATGTTTTAATTTTGTTGAAAAATTTCACAACTTCTCGAATTTTTTTCTGGAAAATGCATAGGATTTCGGAAGTATCTCTGTTCACCAGAAATCATTGTAATTTCCCCCTGCAACTAAAAATAATTTTTTTAGAATGATTTGAAATTTGTTAATTTCGCTGAAAAATTTAGGCATCTATTGAATTTTTTTCTCGAAAGTGCGTAAGATTTCAAGGGTATCTCTATTCACCAAAAATGATTGTAAATGTCCCCTGCAACTAGAAATAATTTTGTTTGAACGATTTGGTATGTTTTAATTTTGTTGAAAAATTTCACACGTTCTCGAATTTTTTCTGGAAAATGGACAGGATTTCGGTGGTATGACTATTCACCAAAAATAATCGTAATTGACCCCTGCAACTAAAAATAATTTTTTTAGAATGATTTGAAATTTGTTAATTTCCCCAAAAAATTTAGGCAT